TAATGAAGTTATATAATGATTTACCTAAAAATGAGGTGTCAAAAAGGAGAGTGGAGATTTTTTTTAAATTTGATTGAAGAAATTCTGTCTAATTATATCTCACCGCATCATGTGCAGGTAAACCACACCATAAATTTGAAAGGAAAATATCATGGGATCTTCTTAATTTTGGCAAAACCCTCATCCATAAATAGTTGGTATTAATGTCGATCACATCTGCTGTTTTTCCTGGTTTGTCCGCCTAATAAATAATTGCTTTTGCAATCACTTAAAAAGGCAATTTTAATCATATAATATAGTTTTAAAAGTCACGAGTAACATAAGATTCTACTCAAAATTGTTTTTATTTCCAAAACATGTTATAAAATAAAAATAAAACACGAGCCATAATTTCTTGAAATTCGAAGAAAGAATCTTGATCAGTGTAATCCATAATTATTAGATTCATCCCCCATCTTTGTAACATATAATATGAACGAGGCATAATTTCTTAAATTTCAAAGGAAGAATTACGATCCGTGCAATCCATAATTATTACTTCGTTTGTTATATAAATATGAGGATCTTTTACCTTGCTAAAAAAATAAGATTCCATTTGGCATGACTCGTTAGAAGTCAAAATGAACTTTTAAGACTCAAAAGTTATTTGTAGCTTTCTCGAAGAGGTCTTCACAAAAACCAAAACCAAAAACAATAGATCTATCAAAAGAATCCTCAATACTGAGTTTCGAGGTTTTTTTTTTTAAATTTAATTTTCTTAGTAAAAAGGGGTATAATTTCTCAAAATGGAAGGAATTGCTCAGGTTCAACCCATAATTATTTATTCATTTTTTGTCCCCCCTTCATTAAAAATTAATTTGTAAAAGAGTTATTTAAAAAGTGTAACTATCAAATGAAGTCCCCAACTATTACTAACTATGACGATAAGGTTTCCAACTTCGCTAGACCAAAAAAAAGTTATCCAGTAGATTAGCACACAACACTCGTGTCCAAATTCATTTTTCCTTTTGTAAAAACCTTCAAATGGCGATTGTTTGAAATTCGTTATGCTGTTTTCAAGTCTCAAAATACATACGGTTCATCAGACACATAACATTTGACATTTTTACCCTTTTAGGAGACATCAAGTGTGGGGTGGCATGTTGATTTTACAGTTAGACGTTTTCAAGTCAGATGAAGATGTGCACACTTTTCATACGCTGGGTATTTCAATGTTACAAATAAAAGGTTGGAAACCCATCCTAGCTGGAATTTACCCATAATCATGTTTGGCCGTTGTTTAGTGGGGATTAAAATCAAAATTTTAATAGATTTTAATAAAAATTAATGAAATGTGTAGTTAAAAAATTGTGAATCACATGAAATATGTGGTTAAAATTAATTGTTAATTTTGACTTAGATTGAAATTTTTATTTTAATTCGGACCAAACATGGACTTGATAAGTAAATAATTTTAAACTGAATTTAATTAATTTTTTCAGCACAATAAAATACAAGAAAATAAAAATCACAGTAGAATTTATTATCTTAGCTGTGAATGAAAATAATACAGCAACTACCGCCGACTGTTGGTTTGAAAGAAAAGAGAGAGACATCTCGACTGAAGAAACGACGACGTTACATCGACTCACCGACTCCACTCTGTTCTCTTCTTCAGTTGTTTGTTTGTTGCTTTAGATCTCTGATTTAGACTTCCTTTTAGGGCTAGTTCTTTCTTTATATATTTCCTTGCTGTACCCGCTGTATAAATACGGGATAAACAAGTGTATATTTACGTTTTGGCGGCGATTATTCGCTTAATCGAACACAAATTTTGAGATTTACGTTTTGGATCGTTTGAATATTGGTTCTTTCGATTTTCACGAGGGAATGGCGGTGGTTTCTGGACCCGTGACACCGGGACAGGTTCGATCTCGACATCTACAAGTATTTTTTTTATTTTTTCTTGCAATGGAGATGAATGTGATCTTATTCTTAGTTTATCGGATCTCTGAAATGCAAAATTGGATTTATATGTTGGCTGTAGTTGATTTTTTCTAGTAAATTCATTGTGCAATTTATCGATAACAAGAGAATTCTGTGCCTTGGAGTTAAAAATCTCTTATGTTTATTATGATAGTTTGTGGGAATAAAGGTTTACCGCTGAGCAGCGATCATTGGATTAGTTTATTGAGTCAGATTTCGTTGAGAATAAACTGGAATTGAAGTATTAATTTTAGTTTGAAAATGTATTCGGTACTTCAAGATCTATAGTGATGACTCAAGAAATTAAATTTCATCAGAGTGAAGTCCACTCTGATGGTCAGTATTTTACTTTAATATCCTGTTGTGGATATCTTAATGTTTATGGGATGGAAAGAATTTTGAATTTAACCGGAGAGAAAATGGTATGGGTAGTTCAGTTCAGACTTTGCTTTCAAGTTTCCTCGGAATAATATGCCCTTGTATGATATTTTGTCAAGTCCTGTTGCAATCTCTTTTCTGTGGCATCTTCTACATTTTTTTAAACCTGAACACTATTCTTGAACTACATATAAAGCGAAGCCCTTTATTATGATGTTCCAGGTGTCATTTTTGCTTGGAATCATCCCAGTTTTTATTGCTTGGATATACTCTGAATGCTTGGAGTATAAGAAGTCACCATCCCCATCTAAAGTGTAAGCACATCTCCCCTTTTTGTCCCTTATCTTCTTTAGTTATGGAATATTTGCGTGAATTTTTCATTTAGCTACCTATGTGCTTAGAAGAAGAACAACAATTGTCTGTTCAAGAAGCACTTAATGTTCTATGAAATCACAAGAGAAAAAATATTGTTTATGAAACATCTTCTTAGGCTCCGTGGCTTACTTGTTTGGGCAGCAGTCATTCAGATAGTAATCTGGTTGAAATGGAAAATGCCACAATAAAGGAAGAAGAACGGGCTGTGTTGGTGGAAGGAGGTCTTACAAAATCAGCCTCCACAAAGTTGTCCACTCCATCAATTAAAACAAACTTGATTAGGTATATCTGATTTGAAAAATTAAGTATCTGTCTGGGTTTCCCTTTTGATCATGTTCATCTTGTCTTGCTTACCTTTATTCTTCTTGATTTTCTAGGTTTGTGACAATGGATGACTCATTTTTGCTTGAAAATCGACAAATTTTAAGAGCAATGTGAGTTATTTGATTATTTTGATTGTGTTACATGAAGGTTGTATATTATTTTTCCATTAAATGGTATGACAATGTAATGCAGGTCTGAGTTTGGTGGGCTTTTGTTCTATTTTTACATATGTGACCGCACAAACTTGTTTCCAGATTCCACCAAGGTGCCCTTCATGTTTCTGACTTCTTTCAAAAATCAGATTTTTCCCTACTTTGCAAGGAGTATTTCCTGTGAAACACATTTTAGCTTTATTTTCTTCATTTACCAGTATTTTGCATTTCCAATTCATATATAGAATTTGATGACCAGCATTACATTAATTTTCTTTATTGCTATATATCCTAATTAATTTTTCTTGGGCGTTTTTCCCCTCTGTGCAGAGCTACAATCGCGATCTTTTCCTTTTTCTCTACATTCTTCTTATCATAACTTCAGCAATGACTTCGCTGAAGAAACATAATGACAAGTCAGCATTTTCTGGGAAATCTATACTTTATCTTAATCGCCATCAGACTGAGGAGTGGAAAGGATGGATGCAGGCGAGTGTTTTTCTCACAAACTATTCATCGGAACATGTTAAAGATTTTTAAATAATTAGGAGCTGCTTCTTTTATATACCCCCCACCCCATATTTTGGTTTTTGTGAAGTTAGGAATTTTTCCTATACTTTTCTGCTATTTAGCTTCCTCTAAGCAGCCCCCAGTGTCTTTAATGGACATTTACTATGCATGTCATGGCTGCTATACTCTCTCTCTCTCTACGCACAAACTTTATGACAACACATCCCTTTTTCTTATGTTTTGTGTAGGTTCTGTTTTTGATGTACCATTATTTTGCTGCATCGGAGATATACAATGCGATTCGAGTTTTCATTGCTGCTTATGTCTGGATGACTGGCTTCGGAAATTTCTCTTACTATTACATTAGAAAAGATTTTAGTGTTGCACGGTTTGCCCAGGTGAAAATTTGCTTCAATTTTTTATTTTTTGTCTGAACCACAAAACTGAACTGGGCACTTTGCTTTTCACAATTTTTAGTTTCTATGAGAGTTCTGATTAGATTATCTTCTTTATGCAGATGATGTGGAGGCTAAACTTTTTTGTGGCATTTTGTTGTATTGTTCTTAACGATGATTATATGCTATACTACATCTGCCCAATGCACACCCTCTTCACTCTTATGGTGTATGGGGCCCTTGGTATTGGCCACAACTATAA